AAAAAAAAAAAATAAAAAAAAAAAAAAAAAAGAAAATCCCGAAAAAAAAAATGTGAAACAAACCCCCCCCCCCCCCCGGCATTTAACTCCGATACATGTTTTGTTGAACGCCAGTGTATTGAAAAAAATAATAATTTCAATGTTTTTTTACCAGAGTATTTTAAGTCTGTACTTCTAAGCATATATTTTCTTTTAATTTTTTTTTAAAACTCCAACATCAATGACTATGCCTGTCATTTATTCAGTGACACCCTTCTTTGTGACACTTCTATCATGATACTTTATACAGTTCGAGAAATAGTTCACACTGCTGGGACTTTCTGTGAGTGCGTGTGTTGCTCTAGTAAATCAGTAGGCCTAATACTAATTGTTGTCTTTTGGATTAGTTGATTATTAAGAGTAGGAAAGAACTTTCACTATCACTAACAATACTATAACAATAAAAACCTGTTTACTCGGTAGCTTACAGTACACACTACAAAAATGACCATTACGAAGAAAATGCCCAAGGACAGAAATAACCTGAAGCAATGTTCGTGTAAGGCAAATGAACTATTTATGCTTCCCAGGACTTTTTTGTCTCTTTCCACCAGGAAGAACTTCTCATAGCTGCTTTTTACATTAGCACATGTAAGTGGCCCCGCACATAAGTGTGTGTGTGTTTTTCAAGTTGGCTTGTGTGACGAACTTCAGCTATTGAATATATCTGACGATTATTGGAAATTGTGTCCATAGCAGAACAAAAAGGTAGGCAGTTGATGGATTATGTCTCTGTTACAGGCCTTCCTCACTTGTAACCGGTTTTTACAAATTATTATGATTATTATTATTTTTTTTAAAGAATGTGTTCCCTACTTGGGTTGCTGATACCCAAAGGGTGAGCATGGCATTTACAGAAATGGGATGAAAGTGATTATAAATGGAAGCTATGAATGTTTAAAACAGAAATATATATTCAAATACATTGTTACTTTTGAATGGGTTGGGAGACTTTGTCATAAAATTTGCAGGGTTCCAGGGTATAGAGACATTTGGGGGAACCCTGGTCTATAGTTACTAAAAGCACATGACATGTAGTTAAGTCTGACTTGTTTATTGATGTTAATCACGCTTTTTGTACATTTGAATTGGGGGGTGGGGGTGTAGTTTACCAAAAGTCACCAAGCATTATCTTGGTCTGGCGTGGGCATGGGGAAGGGGTGTTACCGCTTCTTGCTATCATTTACACCCCTAGAGGAAGGGCGTTTCTTATTGATTGCACACACAATAGCAGCCCGGAACGGACATAAAGAACTGAAAATAATAACTAGTTTACCTTTGTTGAATGTCTTCAAAACAACGTGTGGACTCTCCCGTGTGGGGCCAGTGTCAGGGGCGTAACTGTGAGCCATGCTCTAATGCAGTTAAACCACACACGCTTTATTGGTTTTTCCCGTCATTTCCCAATGAACCCGACAGAAACTTGATAGTGTCTCAGCACGACACCCCATTCAAACATTTCAAAGGCTTAATGTAGAAACTGAACTCTAGGTGTGTTCAGATGAAAATAGATTATCCAATTGAACTAGATCACCAACTTTAAGCCTGAGAACAGTAGATGTAAATATCTAGATGTACATTTCTTCCAAGTTTAACTTTTAAGTGATGCTAAACCCAGCAGCACTGTCAACATAAAAACATCGTAGAGCAGGAATACGTGGGAGCAATACATTCCTATATAATCACACATAGTAGAAAACTCTTTGCTTTCAAAGCATTTACAGCTCAACTAAACATATATAAACATAGGTAACTTGAAATATGTATTTTATCCCAATCAACAATGTCTCAAATGTTTACACACTAAATTTGACTCTACACACCCTGAACTTTATGACTAGTGAAGTGTGTTACGAGTCAAGCGGAGCTGTGACTGTATATAGGTCAACCTATGAATCCGTGAACCCCACCACCCAACACCCCTCCCCAGAACCCACTAACTGCATATTTGACACAAACATTTACACCTCCAGCCTTCCATTCTAACCACCCCCATCCCCCCAACTTTAACAAAAGTTGCTCCAATTGAGGATGGAAGAGAAACAAAAGAATTCTCAGGTCAGGAGGATTCATGCAGTGTCAGCAATGGGGTGAATGAAGGAGGCAACATAGTTCAAAAAAGTTGAGGCCCTTTAAAATTAATTAAGCGTGAATACTGTCTACTTTCTAAGTCAGTGTTGTTCTGGTGATAACTTAAAAGTAAATCGATAATAAAAAAATCATTTAATAAACATTTAAAGCCATTTTTTCCTTTCAATAGATTTCATGACATCAGAGCGCTGGGAGCACGTTAAAATAGCATGAACACAAGCGCTATAAAACTATTCAATCATCTTCAACAAATAATAGATAAGCATTTTCAGTTTTCTTACCACCTTTAAATGCATTTACGACATCACGACAGAAGCTAACTTTAAAGTGTGGTCACATTTTTTATAGTTTAAAAAAAAAAATGTTTTAGAGGTTTGATACCCCGACATCAAGTTCAAACTACAAAGGTTCCCACACAAAAAAAAAAACAAACAAAAACAGGAGCCTCTCAAACAGCGTTCTTTATTTGTTTAGAATTACTTTTTGTTTCGTCATGTCAAGACGGTCATCGGCGAATCGTGAAAATCCCCAAAATATGTTGTTTGGTCCCAAATGGCAATACGATCCATGTCCATAGCGTATGAATTCATAAAGCCCGCATTTGAAAGCTAGAAGGCTTCTGATGAAAGCTTGAAGGTCAATAGTATAAGCTCGAAGGTCACTACTAATAAAAGCTTGAACAGCGAAGATGAAGGCTTGACCACCGATGATGAAAAGCCATATATGAAAACTTGAAGACGCACATACTGTGCCTGGGCTATGAGTATGAGACCCCTGCTATATTATATAGGGGCATGGTAATAAATGGCACAGAAATGCCCTCTCAATGCCCTAAGACCCTTGCTATAAAGGGGCATGGTAATAAATGGCACAGAAATGCCCTCTTAATGTCCTAAGACCCTTGCTATAAAGGGGCATGATAATAAATGGCACATAAATACCCTATTAATGTCCTATGACCCCTGCTATAAAGGGGAATGGTAATAAATGGCACAGAAATGCCCTCTCAATGCCCTAAGAATATGGTTCTTCTCTATGTTCAGCCATTATTCCCCATTAGGCTGTGGGCCGATTTCAAAATGAATTACCGGATACTAAACCACCCAAACGTTTGGATGTGATTGGTCGAACTGACCTATAACTTAAGGGAGCATTCATGTTATGCAATCAGATTTGGCCATTAAAACTGGCATTTCAAAAGCAAATAATGGCCCATAAACGAGCATGATAGAATTTGTAATGGGTTGGTATCATTTTAATGATCGATTCCCATGACCAGACCAATCGGTAATGTCGGGGACATTTCATTGGATAGATCATTTTAAAGGTTCATCACGCGGAGTCAGGTTCTCCTGACGGAAGAATCGATCATGTGCGAGCACTACTGTTTGGTCATGTGCCTTACAAACAAAATTCTCAAGTCCGTATTACACAGTATTATATAGTTACGTTACTGCATTCGGTACATTTTACACATACGTTACCCGGTGTAATTTTTTTACTTAGTCGTTTATTTAGCCAGATAAATTCAAGAGTGTATACACAACAATAACAATAAAACATCGATTCCAACTTACACCATCACCGAGGGGACAATACTCAAACACACATTTAGCCAGTCGTTTCACTGTTGCGGCCCTTAAGTTTGAATTTTGTTTTGCATTTGAATAATTTGTACATACTTCTAAAGTCTTTTCCCCACCCATTTTCTTTTTACCCCTTTTTACCCCTTTGCAGCGCAAATCAATGACAGAAGAAGGCTATGAATAGTCTGTGCAGAGGTGTAGACGAACAGACGACATGCAAAACTCAACATCAGTTCGCCCACTACCACACTGCCAGGGAGTTGTCAGGTAAGGTATGTAATGTCCCGTCACACTGATTATCTAACATCCCGTCAAAATGATTATATCTAACGGCCCGTCAAAATGATTATATCTAACGCCCCCGTCACACTGATTATATCTAACGCCCCGTCACAGTGATTGTATCTAACGCCCCGTCATACTGATTATATCTAACGCCCCGTCACACTGATTATATCTAACGCCCCGACACACTGATTATACCTAACGCCCCGTCAAACTGATTATATCTAACGCCCCGTCACACTGATTATATCTAACGTCCCGTCACACTGATTATATCTAACACCCGTCACACTGATTATATCTAACACCCGTCACACTGATTATATCTAACGTCCCGTCACACTGATTATATCTAACGCCCCGTCACACTGATTATATCTAACACCCGTCACACTGATTATATCTAACGCCCCGTCACACTGATTATATCTAACGCCCCGTCACACTGATTATATCTAACGCCCCGTCACATGATTATATCTAACGCCCCGTCACACTGATTATATCTAACGCCCCGTCACACTGATTATATCTAACGCCCCGTCACATGATTATATTTAACGCCCCGTCACATGATTACCTCTAACGCCCGGTCACACTGATTATATCTAACGCCCCGTCACCGTCACACTGATTATATCTAACGCCCGTCACACTGATTATATCTAACGCCCCATCATACTGACTATATCTAACGCCCCGTCACATGATTTAATCTAACGCCCTGTTACACTGATTATATCTAACGCCCCGTCACACTGATTTTATCTAACGCCCCGTCATACTAATTATATCTAACGCCCCGTCACACTGATTATATCTAACGCCCCGTCACACAGATTATATCTAACGCCCCGTTAAATAGATTATCTAACTTTCCTTTACATTATCTATCGCCCTCTCACAATAAATAACGTTCCGACACGACTGTACACATGTAGCTCGTTGAATGTTGATGAAGTGGGCGAGGAAAAAAAGGGGGGGGGGCATAGCTTTCTTTTTCATCTGCTGGGTGTGTGAATTACATCTTAACATACCACAATCATGGTCTGACGAGGGGGTATGTGAATAACACCATAGTAAACCACAATCATGGTCTGACGAGGGGGGTATGTGAATAACACCATAGTAAACCACAATCATGGTCTGACGAGGGGGTATGTGAATAACACCATAGTAAACCACAATCATGGTCTGACGAGGGGTATGTGAATAACACCATAGTAAACCACAATCATGGTCTGACGAGGGGGTATGTGAATAACACCATAGTAAACCACAATCATGGTCTTACGAGGTGGTATGTGAATAACACCATAGTAAACCACATTCATGGTCTCACGAGGGGATATGTGAATAACACCATAGTAAACCACAATCATGGTCTCATGAGGGGGTACGTGAATAACACCATAGTAAACCACAATCATGATCTGACGAGGGGGTATGTGAATAACACCATAGTAAACCACAATCATGGGCTTCCCGAGGGTGGGGTCGTTTTGTTTTTCGGGAATAGAAATGAGATTTGAACACGTGTGCATTCATACAGAAAGTCACACCTCTTCTTGCTTTCAGTGGACACCTAATTGGGAATCATTAAAAATTATGTCCTACTAGTGACGTAGCTAGAGTTAGTACTGTCAACCGTTCCCTCCACGAAAAAAAAACAGAAAGAAAGACTGCTGCAATTGACCGAAAATGCCTTAAGATGAAGTGTCTCTCGTGACGGTCAGCGCAACCCCACTCCTTTTATTTTGTTTACGCGTGGTCCTGAACAATGTGGACTATCAACGTTTAAGAAAACTTTTCATAGGCATAAAAAGTACCTTGGGTCAGAAATGTTGAACATTCAATCATTCACTTCACCCCACCCCTTCCCCCCCCCCCCAACCCATCCTCTTTGCTAGATTTAAAGTTACCGGTTATGAAAGTTGTGAATGCCTGTAATGTAATATGCAGGCCTGTTCATCTGTAATGTAATATGCAGGCCTGTTCATCTGTAATGTAATATGCAGGCCTGTTCATCTGTAATGTAATATGCAGTCCTGTTCATCTGTAATGTAATATGCAGGCCTGTTCATCTGGAATGTAATATGCAGGCCTGTCCATCTATATAAAAAAATAAATAAATGTGTGTAGCCTTCCACAACTGACTGTATTTTTTGATAATTTAAAAGTTCAGTTGTTTCCACACAGGTCATCTAGCTAGTGCATTCATGAAGTAAATAACGACCTGCATTGTATTTCTTTGATAAAGGAAACATTGCATGTCGTTCGGCTCCCCACAATGAAGCGACAATCTGGCTATGGAAATTATGTCTTGAATTACTTGTATTCATTTAGACAAGTGCATATTTTTATCATTCAGTGTATCGAACGGAAAAAGGCAGCTCTTTTGAAGAGTTTTGTTGCACCCTGTTTAAGCCCCAAGATCAACTTCCTTTAATGTGTAATGTGACTCTCACGATTAGTTTACCATAGCAGTACATGTTCTGGAGTGACTTAACAGATCCGTGCTTCCAGGGCCAAATGTTGCATTGGGCCCAGAGGCACTGGATGGGGTACAGAAGGGGGATGGTCCGTCCAAGGGCGGCACTTTTAAACTTTATATAGAGGGGCGGAATTTTCGACCAACTGGAGAGGTTTTTTTTTTTTGGAAGTGCAGCGCCAAAAAGTTTTTTACCTTACCAGCTACACCACTGATTGGTCCCCTCAAAACCGATGTACACCACCAGGGCCAGATTCTCCACGGGAAATGGCAGACAACGAATAGAGTGCTTCCGAGGCTCAAGGGGGCCCCGGGCCTATTGTCAAGGGGAGTCCATATATCACCACTTGCTTATAACATGCATCATTGTTATGTATACCTCTAAGCTCAAATGGATTAATATTTAAAATAAACCAAAACGCCTCAGAGGACACCCTCTACCACGCGGCACTGTCTCTTCAAGTAATATAAGACACCCAGCTTTCACGAAACACTTGAATCCCAGTCTGAGAACCATTGCACGGTCAAAAATTCACGTAGATATCTGATTGGTATGGTCGGTCACGTATAACACTTTATTCAAGCGGGCGGCGCGGAGTAGCAGGTAGTAGGGGGGGGGAGGCCAGACGCTTAAGCAAATAACTAAAGCCGATAATTAAAGTTCTAAAAATAAAACATTTGATGTTGTTTGTATTGCAGTCTGCCGTCTGTAAAACCATCATCTTGCCCCCCCCCCAACCCTTCCCATGTTAACTACTGCACCCATTACACAGACAAAACTAATTGTTGCCAGGGGGAGGGCATCAACTTTTGTCTTCTTTTTTAATATAAAGAAGAGATTTGGTGGCCGGAAGTCGGTTCAGATTACGTCATTAGGTTACGCAAATCTTTAGTTCGACGCCCGACTATGACGTCACACAGGAGTTGTTCATCGGATTGGATTAAAATGCAGGACAGGTTCAGAAATTTTTTCCACCCCCGAATCCACTTAATTTAACAAAGTAACCCGAGACACCATTTTATAGAATCAAAGGGGCCAAGGACCCCGACACATTAGACGGAGTAAATACGTTAAGAGAAAATCCATGGAACGATTATATAAATGATTATGACATTGTTAAATCTTTATTAAGACAACGATTAAGAATGATTTTAAAAAAATATATATATTTATTTTAAGTTTAATGTTTCTGTCGTTGACCCCCCCCCCCCCCCCCCCACGGAAAACCATTGGCTATCCTATGTGGGGTTGGGAACGAATGGGTTGAGAACCAGGGAAGTAAAGTGAAGAATATGATGATTGTTAAAACATGTTATTTAAAAAAAAAAATTTAATGTAATTGCTGCATTATGAAATTTAAATATCCAAGCCAAGCCAGAATAATTAATGGAGGCTATTAAAAAATAAAAAAAAAAACAGAGCGGTCAATTGTGAAAAGTCCCACCATAAGTCAAAATGATTAACTGTGACATGTCCCACCTTAAGTCAAAATTATTTCTTGTTTCATGTCCCACCATAAGTCAAAATGATTAATTGTGACATGTTCCATCTTAATTCAAATTGATTTATTGTGACTTGTCCCACCTGAAGTAACAATAATTTATTGTGCCATGTCCCACCTTAAGTCAAACTGATTTATTGTGCCATGTCCCACCTTAAGTCAAACTGATTTATTGTGACATGTCGCACCTGAAATCAGAATATTTTATTGTTACTTGTCCCACCTTAAGTCAGAATGTTCATTGGTAACATAATCTACTCGAAGCTAGAATAATTAGATGCAGCCAATTTCATTATCTCAAAGTTTTGATCCATATATCAGAGCTTACTTCTTGAATTTTTAAATTTTATAATTTTTTTTAAAATCCGGCTTCTTTGTACCAAAAGAAAGGAAATTTCTACAGTTTTAAGATTCTATAATATCTTTTTTTAAAAAAAAAAGAGATCCACCAATGTCAGTCATTGTTATACAAATTAAACAGCCTCGCCTTAAAAACCAAGTTTTTAAAAATTAATCCTTTATAAAATGTAATACCGAGCAATATGGGGTGGGCTGGGGCTGAAAATAGGACCCAAAAATGCACACAAGTAAAGAGCTTTATAAGAATCCGATTAATGCTCCCACCTGCTAAGGCTCACAACAGCAACTTTTTTCTTTTTCACGCCCCTTAACTCTATTAATATTCTAATAAGCCAGCCGCTTTTACACCGCAGATTTAGTGCACCAACTGTTTCGGGAAAAAAAAAATGTTACTTACCAAAGCGCACTTGCGATATATTCGTTTTAGAATCAAATTTTGTGCAGTTATCGGGAATTTTATTTGCTGAAATCAGTGTCATTAAATTTCCCACTTCTTGAAAAACATGAAAAACAGATTTTTGGGGGGTTTGGGTGGGGGGCTGAAAATTGGATAGATGGTGATGTCATCAGCAACGCGTCTATGTGCAAAGTTTCAGCTCGAAAGGTTGACGGGAAGTGGGCTAATTAGCCTTCAGAAGGTTTTGCCACAAACCCAGCCAGAAAGAAAGAAACAGACGAATAAAAGCGAAGTTAACAGAATGTATTTAAAAAAAATTAAGGGTTTGAAATTACTTAATTCACAATAGCGTTGTTGTTTTTTTTTTTAATGCGAACGCCCTAAGAAAAATATGCCTCTGAATAGGCAGTTGTAAGACATGTTGTCACGTGTGAAGCTTGTGTAAATTGACGACAATGTGAATGTCAGAATGTCGTTATGGTTGTTTTTTTAAACATCTTTTTGATTGTCGAGATATACGTCGTGTTTTGATTATCACAATAAAATCACGAGCAACATTTGGAAACCTGGGATTTACAAGCAGATGCAGTGTCCGGTGTAAACGCTGTGGTCTGTGGTCAAATGGAAAGGGCCTAGTTGGCATTAAAGCTGGTAAAATTACCGGGTCGTCGAGAGAAAAAAAAACCAAACAAACACATGCGTGAAAATCTAGTTTAGATTATCGTGACGTTTTAAGACATTTTTTAAAAGTTTGATTTCTTCACAGTCATATGTGAGTAAATGCTTCATTTTAATATAGTAAAACTGTGTCGACATTCACATTTGTTATGTATGACCTATATGTAATATGTATAGGCGACAGAATGTTAATGGGTCACAAAGGAGAAGTATAAAAATAGCCGAGTCACGAAAAAAAAAAAGTTTAAGAAACCCTTGTATAGAATATAGAGACTTCATTAAACGTTGGAGGTGTGCACGGTACAGGGCTTTTTATAGCAATAGAGGAAATGAGACACCAGACGCCTATTATTTCAAGATAATCATCACATCACGCTGTAAACATATTACATTTTTATGCTTCGAGTCTAAGTTCAAACACCTTTTTAAATAAAAAAAATATATACATCTGAGGAGAGACATAAAGTCGACTTAAGCCCCGCTATGGGTCGTGGTGACAGAAAAGTCGATTTTCAGCTGCGACTAAGCGACACGATGCCACAAAGGTCAACTTTACACCCAGCAGATCTCGACTTTATCGCTACCAGTCTACGCCATGATAAAAGTCGAAACGTGTTGCCACGCACACCGTCTTTGACCAGGTTTCTTCGTCCGAAAAGAAAGAAAAAATTGAAATTGATGAAATAAAAAATTATAGCCATTTCTAAAAAATAACGGATACGTTGTCAAGATCACGAATGCACGGTCCTGGCAGTTACGTGCGAGGTTTATCCAAGTGCACTACGAATCCAAAATCATGAAAAGAAAAAGAGTTCAGCGCAGGTAACTGAGATACACCACACCGGCATTGGCGTTTTAAGTTGTTTATTTGTGGCGCCATTAAAAAAAAAGAAAGACGTCATTTAGTGTTCAAAACTTTCTTTAAAGGAAACCCAATCTCCACACCTAGACACCTAGACAACTAGACACCTAGACCCTTTGCAACTCAAGTGGGCGTCAGTATCGCGCACTGAGAACCCATGACCAAGGTCTATACAACACAAGACCTAATGTTTTTTTTTTCTTGTTTTTTTTTAAAATGCAGATAGAAGAGGGAAAAAAAACCGAGCCTCAATCGTTGAATGAGGCCAACCACCCCCCGAAGTTTCCTGTTCCACATTTACATAACACCAACGTGTCTTTAATACAGACACTGGAGACGATGACGCATTGTAAGGGGAAAGTCTTGGGGGGTGGGTGGGTTGGGGGGGGGGGCGACAATCCCAGTTTGTACGGTGTATATAGAACGGGTGATAACTTGGCAGGCAAGTTAAACCTGGCGTCAAACCATTTAACGTTCACTTGGATATTGACGATACGCCTTGAGAGACAGTATGGGCATTGATTTAATTTTTTAACAAAAAATATTCTATTGCTATCAGTCATGCTGTTATTTCTTGGACCATCAAGTTTCTTGGAGCATCAAGTTTCTTGGAGCATCAAGTTCTACCTGATTGAAGTTTTGGTTGGTTTCACGTAAGGTTTACTGATCGCCTGGACTTTGTTGTTAAGATGCGGTTCATTGCTCAGCATGCATATTGCCGCTTGGTTCTGGTTCATTGATGCCTAAACCATGTCGTGTAGGTAAGAGTTATTGATCGCTTGCACCTTGGCGCTGAGAAAAAGAAAAGAAAAAAGCATTGACCAACTTGAACCTGTTGTTTGGATGCGTTTCTTTGAAAGCCTGGACCTTTCTCTACAGGTGCAGCTCAATGACTGTCCTTCAGCAATGTTGCTGAAATAAATCTATAAGAAATTCATTTGTTAACATTGCATATTATATTTTAGCATGCTCAAAATAGTCTGAATGAATTTTAATATTCCGTCAAGTCACAAAGAACCATTAAATTGTAAAATTTTTGTAGCCTGACCTGAACAACACAAACAAGAATTAGCATTTGTTAACTTATTTTTTTTTTTCGTAATTGTGAAACAAATATATGTAGTTTACAGTACGCAGTATATATTTATACGTATAGTTACTAGTTATAGCCAACCAAACAATGGCGGGGCCGAGTCGTGACCTTCCCATCTTCTAGAGTTACTTGAAAAAACCATGCATTCAGCTAAAGTACATTTAGTGAATTAGAGCTCTCCCCAGGTATTTTACCGCACACTTTTTCTCATACCCCTGAACTATTTTAATAATATTAATATACTTATGTCCCACCCACTTTTACACCGCAGATTTATTACATCATATTTTAAGTGCGACTATTTCCGAAAACAAAAGAAAATATTACGCACCAAACGCACTTGCGGTATTTATAAGAATCTCATGTTTGCGTAATTACAGGGAATTTTATTTTGCGCATTATTGAACTCACCACCACACCATACATATCTAGAGGATTATATTGTTTGATATTTATATGCATATGATATAGTAATTAATAAAGGAGTCTGCACCTTTATTTTTCCCAGAGGCATTTAAGAAAATCCTTAGTTACACCAAACCCCAAAACTTCATCTCAAGATTTTAATATTCATCCCTACGTCACTCAAAATAGCCTCTAATATTGTTCTCCTCAGTGAAGACGTATGAGAGACAATCATGGCACTCATCCTGTCCCTTATCAGTGACCACATCCTGACTCTCCTCGTCACAACCGTGACTTTTGTGTTGTGGTGGGTCTCTCAGAGACGCCGGAAGCAACCCGCGCCTGGTCCATGGGCCTGGCCCTTAGTGGGTCACCTGTTCTTGTTGATGAGAGGTGACAAGAGGGAACTATTCAGGTAAGTTCTGACACGCATGTTCCCGCGAGTCGTTAGAAATTCCATGACTCCCAATGCATCACAATAATCTGTCGAAGGGTTGGGGGGGGGGGAGGGGGCGTTCACGATAAGAGCTTAATAATTAAAGTATGGCGCAAAATGTCTTTAATTTCAAGGTGTTCTGAAATAAGAGCGAGTTTGCGAAGTTAAATAATGCATCACAATAATCTGTCGAAGGGTTGGGGGGGGGGGGGAGGGGGCGTTCACGATAAGAGCTTAATAATTAAAGTATGGCGCAAAATGTCTTTAATTTCAAGGTGTTCTGAAATAAGAGCGAGTTTGCGAAGTTAAATTTACAATTCTAATTTCTAAACAAACCCCTAAGTAATGCATGAGACAGTCGCAGACTTTCATGATCTAAGAATGAATTAACCAAGACCAACAAAGTTGTACTGGCGGTCGTTCGACGTCCACAAAGGGAAATCATTCCAAACTTGTTACTGAATTTAGTGCGTTCCCTTTGCACGTCGCCCATGTTTAATTTATGATTATACTCCTTTCACACACTTGAGACCTGTGTGATTGCTGGTTGAAGAAATGTTCCTTTCATCATTTAGGCTCCTTTAAAATCTTTTTTAGTTAAATCTCGTTCATTCTTAAACAAAAAAACGCGTACTAAATTTAAATCGAACAGAAAATGTAACGTAAAAAGACCAGGGGCGTCACAAGGGTTGATGTCACCAAGAGTGGTAAACTAATGGTATCTCCTCTTCCAGACTCCCCCCCCCTCCGTCCCACACACAGACCTAGAGTCTGCCTGCTCTGGTTACACCCCTATTTTGCTAAAATCTCCTTTGAGGGAAAACTAATCTGATGTAACATATGCCGGTGACAACCTGTTCTGTTGGAGTCCTTTTTTGGTGGCATCTTGCTCTTGTATTCAACAACGATCTCTTATGAAATTGACCCGAACAAGCCTTGTGAACTTTGCCAATTTCCATCAGGTATCCCCACCCTGGTGCAGTCCACCTCTCCCTAACACCGCCAATTTCCATCAGGTATCCCCACCATGGTGCAGTCCACCTCTCCCTAACACCGCCAATTTCCATCAGGTATCCCCACCCTGGTGCAGTCCACCTCTCCCTAACACCGCCAATTTCCATCAGGTATCACCACCCTGGTGCAGTCCACCTCTCCCTAACCGCCAATTTCCATCAGGTATCCCCACCCTGGTGCAGTCCACATCTCCTTAACACCGCCAATTTCCATCAGGTATCACCACCCTGGTGCAGTCCACCTCTCCTTAACACCGCCAATTTCCATCAGGTATCCCCACCCTGGTGCAGTCCACCTCTCCTTAACACCTTAGTGACCTACTGAAACAGAAACCCTCGTACGCCTTAAGTACACCATATGAGTTTCCTCGCACCCCAAAGTGCCTCCCGCCCTCCTACGGTCATTCAGAGCGTGCATGCGGTTCGCCCACCGTGTCGCCACACAGAGAACTAGTTGATACTAAAGAAAACACGACCCTGTCACGCAATTTTTCTTCCCCCCCCCCCCGGGTCTAGATCAACAGTATGATAGGGTTTAGATCATGGTGTAGATATTGCTTTAAGTTTATGAAGTTATGTCTATACACCAGTGGTTCTTAATTCCCCCGGAGAAGGTCTCGATTAACTGAAAATAGTACATGAGAACCACATTTAAAACCAGGCTTGTATTTGCGAAATTTTTGGATTAAATGTTAATGCGAACCGGACTAAAAGCCACTGCGACACGCAGATAGCATGGTTAGGGGGAAAGAAAGGAGGACGCAAGAGGGTATGTGAGCAGACATCTGGAAATATGACCGGAGGGGGGAGGGGGAGGGGGTGGTGTCCAGTTTAAAAAAGTTTTTTTTTTTTTTTTTAATTAAGTGTCAAGATTAAAGGACTTTGACTATTAAAAAAATCAAGTGGTACAGTTAGTATCAGTAACAGAGCCCCATTTATCGTAAAACCGTCCACGCTCCGCACACTGGTCACGCACACTGGGGCGGACGGAGGGCATCACAGTTTAAGAATCACCACGGGTGGGATTTAAAAAAAAAGGCTAAGTCAAATATATATTGAAAAGCTGAGAGACGTCCGTGACCCGAGACATAATACGATACGCCAACTGATTACGCTGCTTCACGTCAAGGTACATCATTTGACGGGTACATGAATATAAATTGGGTTGGAAGCTGACACGGTGCAGGCGGGACCAAGATAGCTATCGCCTGTCTAGGAATGTCGACACTGGGGGTAGGGGCGGGATCGGAAGGTGGACATGTAAATATTGTTTAAATATGTTTAAATATTCAAGCAATAATTTGTGTGAGTCAATCTTGATGAGCCGAGTTCGGATAACTCAGAAAACAAGTTTAAAACAAGGACCCTAAGTTCGTCAACCATTTCTCTTCACTCAGCAAATGAAGGGTTGATGAACTGGTACATAAATAGTGGAACAGGATGTGTTTAGGCTTGGGGGACATAAATAGTGGAACAGGATGTGTTTAGGCTTGGGGGACATAAATAGTGGAACAGGATGTGTTTAGGCTTGGGGGACATAAATAGTGGAACATGATGTGTTTAGGCTTGGGGGACATAAATAGTGGAACATGATGTGTTTAGGCTTGGGGGACATAAATAGTGGAACAGGATGTGTTTAAGCTTGGGGGACATAAATAGTGGAACAGGATGTGTTTAGGCTTGGGACAAAAAAGACAGAACAATTAAAAGGACGTTTCGGCTCAAGAGCCTTCTTCAGCAAATAATACAAACCAAGGAAAAATAAAATTAATTGAAAAACTTAAGTGTTCCCAGTTAACAATGAAGCTTTCTCTGATAACAATGTAGCTTCCTGGAGATAACAGTGTAGCTCTCAGATAACAATGTAGCTTTGTCGAGGTAACAATGTAGCTCTCTCAGATCACAGTCTAGCTTTCTCAGATCACAGTCTAGCTTTCTCAGCATCTGTGCACGTCACTTCAATACGCGCCGCGAAAAGTGAGAGTTGTCCGTGCGTCATTTAAACTAGTCTCTGTGTTAGTGTAGCATTGTCATTCAACTATTCTACAACTTCATATTTTTATACTAATAGAATGTGCACGTCACTTCAATACGCGCCGCGAAAAGTGAGAGTTGTCCGTGCGTCATTTAAACTAGTCTCTGTGTTAGTGTAGCATTGTCATTCAACTATTCTACAACTTCATATTTTTATACTAATAGAAACTGATGAAACCTTTTCGACGCTAAGTGGCGGATCTATGAAAAAAAGGGGTGGGGTGGTGAGAGGCCACAAGGACACCATACATTGTAGTGGTTTGAAGTTAGTTAAAATTTTAAATAATTAAAAATCATTATTTTTTTTTAAAATTTATCTCCATAAAAAAATCTGTAAAAGTAGGAGAGGGGGGCTGTAGACACGTCTAATGCCCACATGTTCTCTTCTCATATGATTGTGGCGTGTTCCTCTCAATGGTCTATTTCTCTGTATTACAACAGAAAACTGCGTGCACAGTACGGTGACCTTGTCGGTTTGTCCGTTGGTCGACAGTCCATCCTGGTGGTCAGTGGCTCCAACATGCTGCGCGAGGTGTTTGTCAAGCTCGGCAAGCACTTTGATAAACGGCCGCAGGTATTCACTGTGCAGAAATCCTTGTCGGTTTGTCCGTTGGTCGACAGTCCATCCTGGTGGTCAGTGGCTCCAACATGCTGCGCGAGGTGTTTGTCAAGCTCGGCAAGCACTTTGATAAACGGCCGCAGGTATTCACTGTGCAGAAAGTGGGACAAGGGAAAGGTAAGGGCAAGGCCAAAGTAAGGGCAAGATAGGGCAAGGTATGGGAAAGGTATGGGCAAGGTAAGGGCATGATAAGGACAAGGGCAAGGTAAGGGAATGGCAAGGTAAGAACAAGAGAAAGGTAAGAACAAGGGAAAGGTAAGGACGAGGGAAAGGTAAGGACGAGGGAAAGGTAAGTACGAGGAAAAGCTAAGGATGAGAGAAAGGTAAGGAGCGGGCAAAGGTAAGGACGAGAGAAAGGTAAGGACGAGAGAAAGGTAAGGACGAGGGAAATTTAAGGACGAGAGAAAGGTAAGGAAAAGGGAAAGGTAAGGAGGAGGGAAATGTAAGGAGGAGGGAAAGGTAAGGACGAGGGAAAGGTAAGGACGACGGAAAGGTAAGGACGAGAGAAAGGTAAGGACAAAGAAGGTAAGGATAATCATTTATCTTGGTGCAGGAGTACATGTACTCATCGGGACAAAAAGTTATTTATAAGTTTAAAGTTGTAGCTCAGGCACAGCCTTAGGTACCATAACAATGTATTTCCCAGACCCTCCAACATACAACCAACCTTAACCACTGCTTTATCATTGCGAATGTTTTTCTCCCCCAGACCCTCTAACCTACAACCCACCCTAGCCAATACTTTATCATTGCTATTGTTTTTTCCCCCTCCAGCCGTTGTCAACTCATCTGGCGACGTCTGGAAAGAGCACAGAGCCTTTCTGCTGAGGTTCATGAGCCAGGCCGGGATAGGCAAAACGACTTTTGAGGCCAACGTCTTGGAAGAGCTCCGCCCGCTGATCAAATTGCTGGAATCGACCAGGGGCGCCGAATTCGACCCGCGATACTGCATCCAAACGGCGGTTTCGAATATCATCTGCTCGATATCGTTCGGCCAGAGATTCGATCACGAAGATTTGGAATTCAAGGAGCTGTTGAACATCTTCGACGAGAACATGAAGGTCTCAGGTGCCACGGCATTGGTGAATTACTTCCCTTTCCTGGAGTACCTCCCCGGGGACCTGTTCAAATGTCGGCTGTGCTTGGACAACGTCGCCAAAGTTCAGCGCATCCTGGACACCTGGATAAAGCGTCACGTGAGCACGCTGGACGCCAGCGAACCCCGGGATTTCATCGACCACTACGTCCTGGAGATGAGAGAAAAGGTGAAGGCCAACAGCCATACAACAATGGACGGTATGGACCATTCACGGCTGCATTTATTATGAAGGGTTCATGGTAGTCATTTTGGGATAGTTGGAATTCTCGATTAATATATGCTCATAGAATTACACATTTTTGTCTATGTGTTTAAAGCGGCTTAAGACTACCCTAAACACTTAGAATTTGTGAGTAAATTTGGTAACATAGATTAAGGAAGAAAATACAGAACTGTATCATCCTTCACACAAACAATCAAAACAAAGACGCACCTTAAACGATTTTCCGAATAGCCATCATATACTTAGAGAAGAGTTTATAAAACAAAAATATATATTTGCAGCGAGAAGATTTGCTGTACAAAGTTCATGTGTTAATTAGAAATTTTTAATTGATTAGACTCATTTCCCTAGATCTTTTGAGACGGAGAGCCAAAAGTTACAATTTACAAAAATTTCCCAGTTTTTAAAGAGCCACTTGTTTATGAGTTTTGAAAATAAAATAATATAATTATTGATATTTGCTCATGGAACTGGAGAGCCGCAGGTTACCGGCCCCTGCCCTAGACTATATGCTAAAATTAAAGATCCTTTCTCAGCATCTATGCAGAATCACTGCTTTACACCACAGTAAATTATAATGAAATAGTAAAAAGAAGTTAATGAAATAGTAAAAAGAAGTCAATGAAATAGTAAAAAGAGTTAATGAAATGGTAAAAAGAAACTTCTATGTCGATATATATTACCATATTTTGTCGATTTTTTTCGTTTTTACACACATACACACACATACAACAAAGAACATTAGCCATTTAAAGTCTTCTTCTTCTTTATTTCTTCTTTATTTTAAGGGCCCACGATCAATGAATTGATAATTCTGGCTCCTATGTCTGATGTATTTATTGTAATCTGATGAATATACGCCCATCACTGGTTGAATGTTTCAGATGGCCAATTGTTAAAATTTGTCGGAGATCTCCTTGTAGCCGGCACAGAGACTTCAGCGACAACACTCAGGTGGATGTTGATATTCCTCGTGCACCACGAAGATGTCCAGCAGACGATGTACAGGGAGATCGAAAAAACCCTGGACGGCCGGGCGCAGCTGTCCATCTTGGACAAGAAGAAGATGCCGTACACGGAGGCCGTGATCCTCGAAGGCCAGAGACTCGGCGACATTGCCCCGTTCTCATTGCCCCATGCCACCACGGAACCGGTCAAGGTCGGCGACTACGTCGTGCCATCAGGAACTCTCGTCATCCCGAACCTCAACTCCGTGCACCTTGACCCGGAGCTGTGGGAAAACCCGAATGAGTTTAAACCGAGCAGATTCCTGAATGGCGCAGGGGAAGTTGTCAGAGACACTGAGATATTGCCATTTTTCCAAGGTGTGTACTGGGTTTGATCAACTATTTTAAAAAAGTAGATTTAATCTTTAATATTTCTGGTTAATTAAAAGACTTTCAGGTTTTTGCCCTCCCCATCCCCGTAAGCTGTAAGCTTTATGACTTATCCCATAGTGTTAATAGCTTAAAAAGTGAATCATACATTAATATTAATTTTTTAGAATATATTTATTCGTGAAGTAGAATATGTTCAATTTTTCAGACAATAATAAAAAATGACAACACAATAATGGTATCCCCATATTTTATACGTAAGTCCAGATGGTGTGGTTATGGTTGGGATTTTACTTGATGATAGTAAACTTGAAAACAAAACAAGAAAAAAAAACCCCAACAAAAAAAAAAAAAAAAAAAAACAACAACCAAGAAGCAAACAAGAAAAAATATTTTTATCAACTACCCAAATTTGTGTTCACCCCTGAATTCGTTGGACACACATGACGGTTTCATGCATTATTAAACCCTCTCTTAATCAGCTTAAACTTAAATCATGTTTTCCCCCCTTTCTCCTGTTCAGGTCCCCGTATGTGTCCAGGACGGGGCTTAGCTCGACTGGAACTGTTTCTGTTCCTGACATCCATCGTCCAACATTTCCAGCTCCTTCCGTCCGAATCTGAAGGGTTGCCTCGCCTGGACGGCCATGTAGGAATCACTTATGTCCCCTTCCCGCACAGGATACGATTTGTGAAGAGGACATTAAGAGGAGAGGAATAGCCGAACTACAGATAAATAATATATTTATATTTTGACTGTTTTACTACAAGTATTATGATATTTATTTTGAAAAATGGCAATGGGTGTGGTTGACACAATTTAATGCACACATGAATGACTTTTGAAATATTGAATTAGTTTCATAAAAGATTTTTTGAAATGTTTGCAAAATAAAATTTTAATGCTTTTTATTTCAAAATCGTATTTGCTGGTAAAAAAAAAATGCGAGGAAAAGTGCGCCAACACGGGGTGAATTCCATTGATGTAAGGCGTGGGCGTCAGATTCAGAGCTGGCCCTAGCTGCATGTATGCCTACTTTTGGTGTAAATAACACTTAAATAGCCCCTTAGGATCAATTTCACTGACAGAAAGACTAACCTCCCACCCCCCAAAACCGCAACGAAAATTTTTTATTTTAAATTGAAGATTTTTTCTAAATAACAGCAACAAAAACAACAACAAAAACAAGAACAACAAAAACAACAAGAACAAGAAAGTAAAAATAAAAAGTGGTTTCGATTTGACAATCGTAACACCTGTTCACGAAAGCTTGAGAGGGCACAGAACATAGATATCGAGGCATCAGAGAAGCATGTGTGTGCAGAAACTCCATCAGAGAAGCAAGTGTGTGCAGAAGCACCATCAGAGAAGCATGTGTGGGCAGGAACACCATCAGAGAAGCATGTGTGTGCAGAAACACCACCAGAGAAGCTATATGTGTGCAGAAACATCACCAGAGAAGCCCACTTATGCCACAAACGTGCCGGGAACACACTTGTGTTGTCAAAAATGCATCTATGGTACAATGTAACGCACGGATTCATCTTCAAATCACTGGGAACACAGGGATGTGCATTTCACGCCCGAGAAGTTCAGGGTGGGAATAAAAAAAAAAAAAAAAAAAAAAACAACTAAACAAACTTGAATTCTNAAAAAAAAAAAAACAACAACAACTAAACAAACTTGAATTCTCTCATGAATTTTGCAGTAATTTGAAACTTTCTTTTATTGTGATACATCCCGAAATATTAACTTGACCGAAAAACATGCATGAATCCAATTAATCGATATGGATAACGATTTTGGCGTAGCCGAGTCAATAGTGTTTACTCTTAAATTAAACAGCAAGTGGTGGATAAGGGTATCGATGTTTGGATTTAATTAAAACTTTTATGGTGGTTCTCAAATTCGTTAATGGGCCGGCTAAAAGCGGTATGCAAGTAAATGCGAGTAAAAAAAAAAAAAAAAAAGAAAAGAAATTTCACGAAAAAAAAATCATTTAAGCGATTGCAAAACGAAATTACTTTTTAAATTCATATAAGGGCTGTTTATTGAATCTATTTTTTTTTCTCATCAACATTTGGCTCTTCTTTTCAAAACACGAGAAGCCCTTTCTGGACACAAACGGCAAGCACTGCAGTTTCTATGATAACATGTT